GGCATAAATGTCTTCTATTAATAACGTCGACCTGTCCTCTGAGTAAGACGTTGCAATTCAGAAAATGATATTTTTATTGTTTCACCTTTCCGCTCCTCGCAAAACGATTACCTAGACGCTCTTTCGCTGAGACCAACCATCATAAACCCCCTTATACAGGGATGAAAGTTTATTTTTCGGGTAGGGGACAGTAGCACAGCTCATTACAATAGGATAGGATGTTCATGACACCACAAAAAACGATAAATTATCGCAGCGAGTAAAAAAAATATGAGGTGCTCATTCGCATTAACTAAACGGGTGGGAGTCATCGTTTTCGAAAAAGTGGGGTAGTCTGTTTGCCTGTGCGGATCTGCGTGACGAGTAAATGGGCCAGGTGCTCTACTCTGATAGCTAAACACTAGAGAAGAATGTACCCGAAGCACTCTCGGGATTCTTGATTTTCGTGTTTTAGACCCATGAGCTTAAGCAAAGCAACCAAGCACTTGGACCTGACCTCAGTAGTGGTCACCCGAAAACGCATCGTAATTTCAACCACGCAACATCTGACTTGAGCGCACGTTATTCAGTAGAGATAGCTGTCGGAACTGAAGAAAGAATGAGAGACTTGAAGAATGTGGAAAACCATTCTAATGTGGAATAGGCCTGTGACCTTATGTAATTACACGATGATGGGATACCCTATCGCTGTCGATCTTTCATGAATTATTAATCATGTTCCACGCGCTGAAACTGAAAAGTGAAAATCAATCTCCCCATCTCCGGTAGGTAGTGGTTTACTACGCTTACTTCAGACGCCCGAGCACTCCAGGTACACGAGTTCCGTAATGATTAGTATTTCAGGCGGCACAATACCCTGCTGAACGTTTCATCAATTTTTAAAGAAAACCACTGAATTTACTGTCAAAATAGGTGCATACCATGGGCTTAGTGGTTTAACTATCAGGTCGGTGAACTTATCCAAAAGAAGCAAGCTATCTGAAAACAACGTGTGAATATACTCCGGAAAGTGTGACCCGNGGTTTACTACGCTTACTTCAGACGCCCGAGCACTCCAGGTACACGAGTTCCGTAATGATTAGTATTTCAGGCGGCACAATACCCTGCTGAACGTTTCATGAATTTTTAAAGAAAACCACTGAATTTACTGTCAAAATAGGTGCATACCATGGGCTTAGTGGTTTAACTATCAGGTCGGTGAACTTATCCAAAAGAAGCAAGCTATCTGAAAACAACGTGTGAATATACTCCGGAAAGTGTGACCCGAGCACTCTTTATTTTATTGGACTGACTGGCTCGTTGCTTTGTTGGGCGGAAAGGCTATACTTAACTCGTCGCTGAAGGACGATAAGAGATGTTTACTAGACAAGATCCCTTCATTAGATCGAGTAAGTCGCTGCACCATTTATTGTCCTTTTGACTGACCGACCGACCCAGTCAGCCCTATCATACCATGAGCTGTTTCTATATCGGATGAGACCAATGTTCTCTCTCCCACATTAACTTTGACCTTCATAGATTACACATTCCTAATAGTGCAGCGGAAACCAATTTCTAATTGCAACTACCGATAGCGAACACGGACTAAGTGGTTACAAGCCACTAGACGCGTCCACTTGAACTTTTCTAGGCGTCCATTGAAAAATTAACAATAATAAATGGACGCTGCGAAGTGTTTCATAGTTTTTGTACCAACATTCATCTTCTAGCAAATGCGACGGCGGAACTTGGATACTAGACCATAGGCTACTCACATGCTTCGTCAGCAGTATAGCCATCACACATGCTAAATTACTTGTGGGTTGATTCTGTACAATACGAAAATGAGTTTCACGTACAATATCAGCACTGTAGCCAGCGGTTTTCAAAATTAGCTAATCACCTGTCCCTCTGGCGTTGTTCGTCATTTTGAGCGCAAAACCTTGAAGTGTATGTTTGTCTTTTATACATGAAACTTATGATGCAATAAGGACACATTGAGAAAAACCGCTCAACAGCAACACCTTTTTGGTGTCTAGCTGCCATTTAACCCGAAGGAAGCACGAGGGCTGGTATACAGCCAGGTTGCCCAAGCCTAGACAGGGAAGGTCAAGAGGTAGAGGTCGGGTTCGAACCACGGACCTTCCGGTCAAAAATCTCGCGCTCTAACCACTTGAGCCATCTTGCAGCTAAGGATACATTAGCTGCAAAGCATCGAATGCGACAAAATCTGTCGGTACAGGAGTATCGCTCCGTCCGTTAACATGGATTCAAATCACACTAAGTTATTAACATTCCATCTCTAATTATGAGAATACCCGAACACTTGGACACATTTTGGAATAGAAGAGTTGCTTAGTTGTAAAAGCTCGGTTTGTGGAAGCGGATGTGTCTTTCATACAAAGTGACTTTTCTCTGGAATTAAGATGGTGGCACGGGAATGAAACAAGGCTGTGCTGTGGCGCCAATTTTACTCAGCCTATATTTGAATGCAATGTGTGGATGGGTTCAAATGCCAGTAGACGCTGTCGCTAGTTAGTGATGCATCTATCCGGACGAACGCTGCACGATTTGAGGGTTAATTGTGCTTCATTGGAACGTTCTCTGGTGGACATGCAACGTCTAACGACAGTCTGACACTGCGGTATCACGTTTTAGCTTAAATGAAAGCATTTCTAGAGCTTTCACCCTGCATCAACTGGATCTAGGTGGGAGCAGTAAAATCTACAACACGTAGGAGTGATGTGTTGCTCAAAAGTCTGTGATCTCGATAGTTTTCTAAAGATTCACCAAACAATCGAAGAAGAGTTAAAATCGAGGATAAACGTACTTCAAGTGACAGGCATATAAAATCATAACCTGCGAATAACGCAATCATTGTGATGTATTCAAAAAGCGAAAATATACGGAATCGAGAGTAGTTTGATCTCGAATGTTTGAACCGTTTCAAATGTAACACCGGGTCGAATTCTAAAACTCGCTCTATGGCCAGTTGAAGAATGTTCCACGAGACAAAAGGAGACTAAAATTACGATATGTAGGCACGTTTCAGGTGAGATTTGTAACTGTAATTCGAGTTTAGATCATTGAAAACCCACACCGATAGACAAAGACCCCCGGTCACAGGACGTGCTAAGTTGGCCCATTTCGGTACTCGAACGTGAACGTCCCATTGGTAAATGGCTCGCCACAAACGCAGCAACAGCAGGACCAACACAGTAAACTCATACAGCTTCTTACACTACTGATACATGTGCGTAGGTTAAATTACACTCGCGAGACGTTGATAGTTAAGTTTGCTGGGTTTTCTAACACTGTAACCGGCTCTGCCACGATTGTATCTTTTGTTCAACCACGACAATCGTTGGGTACGAATGTATAGGTAGGGTATGAAGTTCTGCAATGGAACCCACAGAAATTGACGGATAACAACAGCACCCCATTTTTAAAGCAGTATTATTTCTCACTGAAATGCCGGTATGTTTGGGCCGGATGATAGCTCTGAACAAGTCTGCGCGAATCTAATTAATTAATTAATTCAAATCAGCCAATTTAGTACCATGCCAACCAAGCGATTTGAATTGATTCAGCCATCGCAGACCGATGGAAGTTGAGCTGTCTTGAGTAAAAGAAGTCGGTGGAAAGAAACGAAGTTTTTACCATCTCGCAAGAGCAGCAAGAAAATAAACCCGTGGGGTCTTGTAAATTCCTAATAACTTCAACAGATCGCTTGTGTACAATTTTTTACCAACAATTCGATGCTTTCCACCAAAATAGATGTACATTCGTCACTGTCGGGGATAGGGATCGACAGGATATCAATCTGGCGGTTAAATTATCAGTTTTTGGCTTAGCGGCGTCACTGTTTGACAGTGGTCACACGTTTCCCTATCCTGTTCTGTTTACGATAGCCGCCCAATAGGCATCATGACTGAAACTTGAGCACTACTCAATCGTGGACGTGATTTTACAACCGTCTTATTGTATGATCTCACTGCGTTCTCTATTCTCATGTGCATCGCGTTCGAAAAAAAACCTTTGAACTTCCACCTAGCTGTTTGGTAGAGAAACCATAGAATAGCATATCCGTTGGCTTGACGCGGATCAGTGACCAAATACTGAACCAAATAATCTCTCCATCGTACACTTGCGTTGATCGATTGATCCCTTCTCAGGTACGTTTCCCAGTTATCGCTTAATGTGAAAAATTCAGCCATCAATAGTTGCTGTTGTAAAAGATGTAATTCACAGAAGTATGCAACCATCTTTTCCCACTTTTGAAAGGGTTTCCCTTGTCTGAGCACTACTCATAATTTCGCTGAGAACACTTAGCCATTCCACGACTATTTCATCCTTCTTTGGGCTCATGAATTGGGCAAATTCTCCTAGTTCCCATAAGCTTTATGTTCCACTTGGACCCAAATTCCACGCAATTCTCGGAACACATTGATTTGTTAATTAAACGAAAGATTCCGCTAAATTTTAATTAAGATTCCCAATAAAACCTAATTAGGGATTTCCTCTGATCGAAGTTCAATCGGTGTGTTCTTGATCGAGTCAAGTTTGACATCTAACCACCCATCATGTGAAGTGCAGTGAGTAGTTGCCGGGCCACCCGGACTTTTCCTCATTGGTCAGAAGAATGGCACAGTGCGACTTGACAGGCAGGAATGAAGAGTGAGATGCAAATTCCTGGTGACACCAATGCGATCTTCATCCCAAAATGTTACCCCCGTTTGATTTTCTCTGTCCTTGACCTGGGATGCTCTGTCTCACGATGCATCAGTGGCATTCATGCTGTCAGTTTTTATCCGGATTGTCTGGCGAAGTGTTGGAGACGTGCGAATTCCGGATTTTCGTGGTAGACTAACACAAGGCTTTTCCTGATCGCTCATCTTTGTTTATTTCAGCACAAGGCCTTATTAACTAGACTAATATGGTTTTACGAGCACGCTACCACTGATAATGACGACGACGACCAGAAGTGCACAGAAGATCCCCAAAAACCGAAAAGAAAACGGCTTCCAACAACGACAACGATTACTATTAATATATTCACGGCTTCAGACGTAAATGAGCATGATGCAGCAAAGGATAAAAAAGACATATGGAGCTGTAAATAATTGTCCTGAGACCAGGCTGGTTGCCTCGGTCAATCTCAAGGAAATAACTAAAATGGTCTGCTGCGTTTCCCCTCTTTCTGTTGATGACTTTCAAAATAAGTTGCTAGTTGCCGGGAACTAGACGGAATAACTTCTGTGATCCAATGGTGATAGTGTCTGACAAAAAGTGAATAAAGAAAGAAATCATTACGCCAGAATCAACAACACAGGGGATGCGAAATCCCAGGAACGTTTCATTCTAGTGTAGCAACAATAAAGGGAAACGGCATTAATATGCTTATAAATGGAACGATGCCTCATTCTTAGGAAGGAGCGCCATATCCGCCTCGGTGTCAATAACGACAGCATATACGGCAGTGAAAACTGATGTCATGTCGTCGATGATGGTGATGATGAACGACAGTATACCAACCGTGCACATGGTAATCTTTATGTAAATTGGATCTTCCTATGGTCGGCCGTAATGTTTGAGCTTAAAGGCTAGAAGCGAATTGATGTGTGCTTTAGGCTATACAACATTCAAGAAGCCACTTCCACGGAGATCAACCAAAGTTCGTCTAACTATCCTATCGTTTAAGGACATCGTAGTGGGACTATCGTGGATATTTATGCAACCAAGGTAAGTGGTCGCGTGAGTTCTCCATATCCACCGGTAGCAAACGAGACTGCCTTCCTCCACCCTTCCAAATCAATTGAGCCTCAAGCATCTCCTGTAGCTATCTCAAATACTCATGAGGTCAGACCACTCTCGACATTGAATACGTTGCTTCTGTCGCACCAGGTTCCTCAAAAATACGGACATATCGAATCATTCAGCGACGTGTATTTTGAGTCGAAAGATATCGGCGCCTCAGTTCATCTTGTATCACTCTTGTGCAGGTGTTTAATGCTCTAGGGGGTTTGTTTGGTTTCTCGATACCATATCCATGAGCAGTATGTGAGTTGCTGACGAGAAATGCACAAAATAATCAACCAAAGGAAGGAAACTGCAAAACATTTTGCGCTCACCTAAACGACTTTATTCTTTGATCAGGGAGCTTCCTGGCTTGACAATGAGTTCTGGGCTGGTTTATGCACATACCTGGATTCGCTCGTTTTAAAAGACCTGGACTGCTCCAAACACACCAGTTCCACTGTCAGAAGTTTCAGTCGGGAAGGAAGATCCCGCGGCGGAGAACGCGACTACATTTAACCTAACAAAAGTGAACCGCTGGCTGAAAGTTATCGCATACCATTGGCACAAACTGCGCTGCGACACCCGTAGTTCATTGGCTCTGTAGAAAACTTTGTTAAAAATTTGAAGACTACCGTTAGTTTTGTTTTCCCTTAAAGGTATGCGGCTCAGATAAATTCTGTGACAGCTTGATGTCACGGCGTAAGAAAACTGTGCACCCGACTATTCCAGCAGAATAAGTTTGTGTAGGCGTGCAACTTTCGCTGTACTCTAAACAAAATCCTTTCCTCTGGATTCGAAATTTTTATTATGCTAACGAGCATGGAGGGACTAATGAGGAAGCCGAATCTCGGTTTGATAGCTTTCAGACTCGGCATCGGTTAAGGAGCTAAGGTATTGCTGTTATTGATCCGTAGTTGCCTTTGAGTTAGAAAAGACAACTTATTAAGGGAACCATTTTTTCAAAGACAAGCTACAGAAAATGCTCTCACCTGTTACCCTTCACACCCACTAGTTGCCGGGTTATCACTTGTGAATTCCTATAGAGAATGGTGCCACAAATGATCATGTTATTTATTTGACTCGTTCCATGGATTCTGATTTTCACTTTATGGATTCGAGTACGAGTCGCTTCAGTTGGCGCAGTGATGACCGAAAATACACGTGTCATTTACCATTTATGTCGCCCTTACACTCTCCAAAGTCATGCCACACGGTTGACATCGAGAAAACGCTGATGTCCTAAGTTGATATGGAAAGTATGAATTTCGCGACCACACGGAAAACGACTTACGAAGTAGTCGTTGAAATGATTTTGGCTTCTTTTTCCACATACAGGTGAGAATGTAGACAGGAACTGCACTGAACATGATGAGAACACCCATTACTGAAAAGCAAAGGATGAAGACCAATAAGGAAACCCAGAATAAACAAGAAAACACTCTGCCGGAATAAAAAAAACATTTCTACGGGCTGAACCGTTCAACGCTGAACTTTCAAAGTTGTGCCCGTAAGGAATGAGGAACCAGTTTCCTGCATCCATACCGAATTGAATCTGACAACTTGCACCGTATTTAAGCCCATCGCCCATACAAACAGCTCGGCCGCTCTGAAACAAGCGGTGATCTTAACAGAGAGTACAATGAGAAAACACGCTTTCATTGCAGATGGTCGAGGATATGACAGATCAATATTCACCAGAAACTCAATGTATAAGTGAGCGGCAAGTGAGAAAACTTCAATTGGCACCGCAGAGAAAAGTAACTCGTTAACAAAGTTCTGTTAGTGATCGAAATTATGGCAGTGGTTATCAAGCAGAGTGGATCATGGTGATAATAATGCACCGATATGCTTTCTTTCACTTAGTACGGGAATGCAGATGTAATCCTTTCCGTTATAACGAAACACTGTCGGTATGTCTATAGTACTGATTTGTAAATAAAACGCAACCTAGATGGCTTCAATAGTACAGTCAATAGTTCACCCATACGATGGGCTGTCGATACTGCAGTGCACTAGTCTTTTTTGCTCACAAAAGAAACAACGACGTCCGATGTATCTGACTCTCTGTGCACGGGTTTCCTAAAAGGGTTGGAAAGAGACCCTTCCAACTAAACATGGGCAGTGTTTGAAAACAGACACCCTATAAGTTGTCAACTTGTTGTGCATCCAACCTGTAGTAAGTGTTTTGGTCCTCATGCTCGTCAAGCCAAACAAATATAACAAGTCGTAAGCGCACCAACAATAAGCCTAAAATTGTCAGTTGAACGTGAGAAAAGTGCCAGGTGGTGCTGGATTCTATGAAAATGGATGTCCAGAGTTCTGGAAATCCGGAGATCACACGACCTTTCATCCAAATTTTTTTTCACGGAGTCCTAAATGAGTCTGCTGGTGGGAAGTGCTCTTCACCCTAACCGATAGTACCCAAATTTGCATACAACTTCGACAGATACAGATACTCATCTAACTGAAATTGGAAACGCAGTTAGGTGTCAAAAAATTTGAAGTGGTTAGGCGGATTAGAACATCAGATGGAGATGTTAGGGTTATTAAGACAAGATATCAAATAGGAATAAACTAATGTTTTGGGAGTTGATGAAGATGCGGCAATGAGAAACAGCGGCTAAGCTGCTAAGCGACGCGTCCTAAAATGCCGCTTAATTGGCGAACCGCAAAAGATAAGCAGTACCCCAAATGAAATACCTGTTGATCAGTCACTGCGGAAGGAAGTTAAAAGACCAAACAGGATGTAGATGAATGAGATGAATATGGAGGATGTGATACGAGGCGGATACTTCGAAAAACAATACAATATTACTGTAATTCTTTGGATTCTCAATGGAATAGCTCCTAGATGAGCGGTTGCAGACTTGAAAAGGATATACACCGCACTATTTCTAAAAATGCAATGTGTTAATACAGGCAGTATGATATACTACCATCATTCATCATCACTAGCTGTAAAAACCACGTACTTGCCATACAGTGGCTATAGCTACCACAATTTCGTTCATCGATGATATTGGGCGCGGGTAGATAGATACGCATTGGATGCGGTAGCTAATATAACTGATGCGTAGATACAAGCTTGTCTGTGAAATTCTAATTGGACAAATTGGCAGGGGAGCTATGCATTGAAGTCAATAGCTTGGATGCACGAGCGCCATGAAGGGCGTGACTTAACCATGTCTGACAATGCCTCTAAACATTGATGTGTTCCGTCTCGGAGTCTCCATCCAGAAAGACGGTAATGATCAGCGCAGCCGAGTTTGCTGGTAATGACTTTTATATTTCGTTGCTGTTTTGCTGTTTCACTTCCGTAGCTCGTTTTCATCCTTTACGTGGTTGCGCTAAAAGAGCCCTTCGAGGAAAGTGGTCGACTGGCATACGAAGCACGTGGGCAGACCAATGTAGTCTATGTAGTGTGACCCGCATTTATTCATTTCTGCCTACCGAGAAGTTGGGCTGAACCGTTCAACGCTGAACTTTCAAAGTTGTGCCCGTAAGGAATGAGGAACCAGTTTCCTGCATCCATACCGAATTGAATCTGACAACTTGCACCGTATTTAAGCCCATCGCCCATACAAACAGCTCGGCCGCTCTGAAACAAGCGGTGATCTTAACAGAGAGTACAATGAGAAAACACGCTTTCATTGCAGATGGTCGAGGATATGACAGATCAATATTCACCAGAAACTCAATGTATAAGTGAGCGGCAAGTGAGAAAACTTCAATTGGCACCGCAGAGAAAAGTAACTCGTTAACAAAGTTCTGTTAGTGATCGAAATTATGGCAGTGGTTATCAAGCAGAGTGGATCATGGTGATAATAATGCACCGATATGCTTTCTTTCACTTAGTACGGGAATGCAGATGTAATCCTTTCCGTTATAACGAAACACTGTCGGTATGTCTATAGTACTGATTTGTAAATAAAACGCAACCTAGATGGCTTCAATAGTACAGTCAATAGTTCACCCATACGATGGGCTGTCGATACTGCAGTGCACTAGTCTTTTTTGCTCACAAAAGAAACAACGACGTCCGATGTATCTGACTCTCTGTGCACGGGTTTCCTAAAAGGGTTGGAAAGAGACCCTTCCAACTAAACATGGGCAGTGTTTGAAAACAGACACCCTATAAGTTGTCAACTTGTTGTGCATCCAACCTGTAGTAAGTGTTTTGGTCCTCATGCTCGTCAAGCCAAACAAATATAACAAGTCGTAAGCGCACCAACAATAAGCCTAAAATTGTCAGTTGAACGTGAGAAAAGTGCCAGGTGGTGCTGGATTCTATGAAAATGGATGTCCAGAGTTCTGGAAATCCGGAGATCACACGACCTTTCATCCAAATTTTTTTTCACGGAGTCCTAAATGAGTCTGCTGGTGGGAAGTGCTCTTCACCCTAACCGATAGTACCCAAATTTGCATACAACTTCGACAGATACAGATACTCATCTAACTGAAATTGGAAACGCAGTTAGGTGTCAAAAAATTTGAAGTGGTTAGGCGGATTAGAACATCAGATGGAGATGTTAGGGTTATTAAGACAAGATATCAAATAGGAATAAACTAATGTTTTGGGAGTTGATGAAGATGCGGCAATGAGAAACAGCGGCTAAGCTGCTAAGCGACGCGTCCTAAAATGCCGCTTAATTGGCGAACCGCAAAAGATAAGCAGTACCCCAAATGAAATACCTGTTGATCAGTCACTGCGGAAGGAAGTTAAAAGACCAAACAGGATGTAGATGAATGAGATGAATATGGAGGATGTGATACGAGGCGGATACTTCGAAAAACAATACAATATTACTGTAATTCTTTGGATTCTCAATGGAATAGCTCCTAGATGAGCGGTTGCAGACTTGAAAAGGATATACACCGCACTATTTCTAAAAATGCAATGTGTTAATACAGGCAGTATGATATACTACCATCATTCATCATCACTAGCTTTAAAAACCACGTACTTGCCATACAGTGGCTATAGCTACCACAATTTCGTTCATCGATGATATTGGGCGCGGGTAGATAGATAGCATTGGATGATAATCCAAACTTCTCTTCTGGTTCTGCTAAAGCCACCACAGTTTCAGGTCAACTAGCCATTTATTACTACCCTACCGTCACATTCCTCCACAACCGAGTTTTTTAAGAAACACTTCTGGTTCTGCTAAAGCCACCACAGTTTCAGGTCAACTAGCCATTTATTACTACCCTACCGTCACATTCCTCCACAACGAAGACGAGTTTTTTCCACCAGGACTTGACTTGTTCGATAGACCAGCTTAGACTAATGACACTATAGAAGTGACAGAACATACGATATACGATGGAATATACACTCGTCTCAAATAATCACAAGTGATTCTGTTGTTAAAAACTAAGGTTCTTGTTCGTAACAAGTCTAGCCGATTTCTATCCGACTGGCTGTGTCACTCAAAAAAAAGAATCTGCATGAGTTGGATGGTAGGAATTGGCAAGAAAGCTTCGATGTTGACGTGGAGTTTCTGCTCTAGTTGTATATGCATGTGGTTTTGATTGCTTCAAAGAAAAATCGCTCTGATCAGTAGATAAATTCCCCCACCTCTTGACCAACCGAATTTCGTTCAATCGAATGTGACAAGGTATGCTTCCAAGAATCCGGAAGGAAAGAAACAGAGACATAATATGTGACAGTCCTGAAACGTGTTAGGTCGGCTGAACGTGGTAAACTCTTGTTTGGCGGAAAATATATACACTTCAAAATTGGGAGTCCAAATAATATAATGGTTACTTACTGGATTCTTTTGGAGCGCCAACAAATGCAAATATGGCCAAAGAGGCTGTGACCGCCACGTAGATGATCGCGAAGACCAAGGGGGCCTAAAGAAGGGAGAAATCGAGACAGGGGTTACACAACTCCAAATAGAAGCTTGACTATTTACTTTACATTTGTTCTTTGGCACTCAGTGACTACCGATTCCATGTTAACGTAGTACTTATGAAGTGAAATTGCAGTTCAAATGGTTTGATTATGATTCACGACACCGCACAACGTAGGACATTTCTGAATCTATGCCACTGCTCACTTTAGTCACCAGCAAAGGAGTCAACTTGGGATGAGAAAAGACTCGTTCGAAACTTTGAATTCCATATCCTATGTTAGAATGCTCAAAAACATAACTCGTTCGAAACTTTGAATTCCGTATTCTATGTTAGAATGTTCAAAAACATAACAGAATGATTGACTTAAACAGTGTGCCTTTTGCATCGGATCAATCATTCTTAACTCTCGTTCACAAGTGATATGTTTTCTATGCAAGGTGAGAGTTTTGTTTCATGGACGAGCTACGATTGGAAAATTGTCCTGCGGATTCGGCCTGGTGGCCGTACCCTAACTAACGAGCTCGCTGTGCATGGTAAGTGAAAGAAACATCCATGATGGATGGTATTGTAAATTATTACAAGAACTTAGCTCAGAGGCAGGCCAGATATCTCAACAAAGTTTGACTTTTCGAGAGTAACTACCTAAAGGTGACATTACAAGGTGAACGTCTCCAAAATACGTGTGTTTCAGGAGCTCAAAGCTCATAAGTAAGTAGCACCTGTGACCCAGATCTGAAGGCCATTCAGCTCTTGAACTTTTGGCTCAAACTTCAAGTTCGAGATAGCCCAGTGGTTAAGACGAGAACTTACTGATCAGAAGGTTCGGACCGGACGCCCGCGTCTCGACTACTCCTGTCTAGGCTTAGGCAACCTGGCAGTATCCCATCCCTCGTTCCTCCTGCGGGTGGAATGATGGTCAATCACCGGAAGGGTGTTAGAGCAGGAGGATTGTATTGTTATTATTATTAGGGCTGGAGGTGAAACATCACTGTCGTCTGCTCATTCTTCCACACTCTGGATGGAGCTCGTCTATTTCAGTCCTATCCAAAATTAATACCTCCTTTCCAACCCACGTTTCATACTACCGCACATCAATAGGCCTCAACTAAAGGTATGTACAAAGGCACGCGATTGTTGAATATCACCTAGGACTCTCAATTAACCCTACCTCCATGTTCTATGTCCCGTTTTCGTGTATTTAACCACTACCACCCACTAATGAAGCCATTCTTGCAAGACGGACCGACCAGCTCCTCACATCTACGGTAACGACGAATATCGCAGACCGTCTTATCCAACGTGAACATATTGATGGCAACTTTCACCCATCCCTCCCTATTTATATTAAGCCTATCCCAAAGGCCAGGGGTAAGCATCATCTGATCACCTAACCAGCTGTCCTGCAGCTCACGAGCATGCTCGTGCTGTGTGGTAATCCATTCAAGCTACCTTTTTTCCAAGCTCCTCCAGTTTGCATGCAAATACAATCGCAGCAGGCCATGGAATGGAACTTGCCAAGCGAGTTTCAGTTTTACTTCTGGTTAGGGGTAAGTCCTTTGTCCAATGCACTCTTCCTGATATTTCGTCCACTTTCATTGTAGCAAGCACGAAAGAAATTAGATTAAAATAACATTGACCTTCAAACTGCCAACCGTTATCCTCTAACTTTCAGCTAGCTTGGGGTATAGTTGTTATTTCGCTCATAGCACACGCAAAATGGAAAACGATCGTCTTATCTCCTCTGTAATGTTGGTATACTTCAGGTTTCCCACCCACAACGCTGATGAACTTTGAGCTGCTAACCCGGCTGGGTTGCTTAAGTAAACAAAGGACACTACTTTTTGCTGTGGTGTATCAGCGTGTTCAAAATTTTCACATGTTTGGCATGTAAAGGTGACAGTTACTTGTCGCCCCTCTGTTTCTATCTTCCTTGAGCACTCAAGAGATATTTGTCCATGAGGATAAAAAGATGCAACTGCCGATTGCGTACCCTCTCGCATTACGTTGTGTGAGGCTTATCGTACTGAATCAGTTTTCGCAAAATTGTGATGGTTTGCGAATAACTGTATTCGATAAGGCTGCAATTGGAATGTACAGTTCTGAACGTGAATAAAACGTTACATGAGAGCGCAAAAATCCCCCTAAATGTATACACATACGTATTCAGTTACATGAGTCAGCTGAAACATGCAGCGGCAGTGACCTCACATGACGTTCCTGTTGACAGACACTTTTGACGTAATCTAACAGCGATTATCCCGGCCACCGACAGTGCGTTTTTACCGGTCCCTGTGGAGCGACTGGATGACACTTGATAAAGCACGTCGAATGATGCGACCGAACTTACACGGCAACTCGAATCGCTTGAGTAAGACCGGATCAAACTTGATACGTGTTTGATTTTGTGGCTCGCTACATAATCACCTAAGCTCAGCCATTCTTTGAGCAGATATCGAGTCGTATGACCCACGTGGTTGGTTCACACAACATTCTCAACGAAAGAATGAAAACAAGAATCGTGCACTGATGCCTTAGCCTTGACATTAGAATTAAGCGAACGACTTGCCCTTGGAAAGGAATTAGTGACAGCTTATTTATTGTATTCAATCCCGTCTTAAGGCGCATACCAATCCGGTAAGCTAGGTGAAGATCGTTAATTTTTAGTTGTTCTCCAAACATTAACATGATACGAAGGGTTCACCTACGAGGATCACTGTGGCCAATAGGCACAAAAACAGATCACAAGCGTATTTTGTCACCTCGTAAGATGCTTCACCATAGACGCATTTAATGCCTGATCCGTTCACTGGTACGAGCCTTTGCGTAAAGAAACCGTGCTCCGTTTTGACAGATGGGATCACTTCCATGTGAACGATTAGCCGAAATCGGGGTCCGGCCGATGTCCGCTTCTTGATTGGCTTGTGACATAAAAATAAGTGTTATGCCTCCGGAGCCCCAGATGCGGTCCGCGCTGACTCGCGTGTGCAGCATCTTGGAAATCTTGAAACCCGGCGCACACGCAAATGGATAAGGCCGAACGGGGAAAGTGTGAAATCACCAGTATGCCTACCCGACGGTCTACACCTGTTAAATCAGATGAAATCGACAAAACCACGTACATACGATCAACAGGTGACCACCATATGCAACCTTTTTACTTGCTTTCATTCTTTCAACACCGTTTCACTTTCATCAACCTTAAACATACTGCACCGGGCCCACAGAACTTGGCCTTAATATGGGTATCACTGCAGACAACTGGAAGTGCTCAAACACTTCGGTTAACAACTCAAGCCCTAGTATATTGGTTAGACTGGGTGCAATCAAGGGTGGTCGAGAATTACGGTTATGAAATATCGAAATTAGTCGTTTCACTGGCCTCCACCGATTGCACAACTAGTAAACCGAACCTGTTGTTCCAAGACACGGTTGCCTCTATGAACAAAACATTTTCGCACCCACAAATCGTGACATGTTCGTTTTCAACAGGATGAAAGAATGCATAAAAAAGGTCTCTTAGGTTACTGACAGACAGAAACCGGTCAACTGGATTTGCAGAACGTGTATAAACAGATTTACAGGTAGGTTTCGTGTGCATAAGACAAGGTCTTTCAAAATTTTATTCAGAACGTACCACTATTAACCAGGCTGACAATTCCTAATATCAGAGCAAGACTACGTTAGGTGAACGCCTGTATGATACAGCAACTCCTTGGTGTGAATGACGAGGAAAATGTGACAACTAAGGCTTTTAGACCGACCAACTCGTGACAACAGAGTAAAGAAAACCTACATGTACTTATCCAACCTACCTTGACGGGTCGAGGAGCGTCGCGACGAGTGAATCGAAAAACTATGACGATGAATACCGTCAATCCAATGGCTGTCCACTGCACGAAACCGAGGTAGGTTATCAGAGAGTAGATGTCCGTCACCAACAGGTAGGCCAAAGTAACGAGACACTAAATGGAGAGTAGCAACAGGTAGACGTGACATGGATTTTGGAATACGTAGACCAACAGAGGTTGACTGGCATTTCCGAAGGAATTTTTTCATTTAGGGTGTTTAAAAGGCCATATTTGTTGTTTACGCTCATCAGGTTTTATCGTTGAAGCTTTAGGACAACCTGAGAACGGCTATTGAATCTAGCCAAATTGGTTTAGATAAAGCACGGTTATGCTATCTTACCTGGAAGCATAATCGCAGCCGAGCATAAGATAGCCAAACGGGTAGTTTTGTGCTTGGCCACGATATGGCAGAGATTAGCACTCGACCGAAGGTGAGCTGGGATAATTCAGCAACATGGTCAAATAGGGTAGGTTAAGCCAACCCATTTGGATCCAGTTCGAGCAATTCTTCTGCTATAAACAGTCTGTCAATCACCGATGTAGTGTCAGAAATCCCAATTTCAACAATTTAATTGGAGAGAAATACGGATATCAACAAAAAGGTGATGAATTATGTACAGTGCTCGCTGCAGTGAACTTCCTGTTAAAAGAAGGGTTTACTTACGATTTGATTATATATTGGAACAGCAACAAAAAACAAAACTGAGGCGCGAAATGTAAACGGATGTGTATTCGAATAACCCACACACAAACGTGTCCGTAGCTAGCTGTATCCACGATAATACATGCGAGTACGTTAGTGATGATATCATCCGAGCGGGATTTAGACGACCGAAATCAAAATGATAGCCAAACACCAAATTTTGGAGTGCGATGTCCAAACACACTGATCAAGAATGGGAGAAGTTCGGGGCTGAAGTGGAATACCAACTTTAGCGGAATATACTCATTTGCAAACAAGTATGGTTTTGCGAGAGAATCATATGGAACCCAGCTGAATCTCTGGTTTACGATGTTTTTAAGCAATACTGAATTCACATTTCCACGTCTACCAGCCGTCCACACTGTTTTCTGACGACTCACATCGATGCTTTCCGGGAAGTCGGATGATATCAATAGCTGGCTCACTGTGGAATCCACACATGGGTTTCACCGACAGCGCTGACAGATGTCAACCGTTATTCTACTGGGCAGAGGTGACGAAACACGTGCGCCCCTCATTTGCGCGATTATAACAGAGGCCATTGGCTTCAGTAAATAAGTTGGTAGGATATGTGTGTGGCAAGCTACAGGTCGGTATCCTGACTCATAACTAGGCGTGTATGTTTCCTCGTACTATGTATTCTTGGACTTCATGTTTCAAGTACGTTTGATGTACGCCATCTGTCTGACTGGTATGGTCCAGTAGCACACTAGATAAGAGAATAATATCACTTCCAGCTAGAGCGGCATCGTCTTTGCAAGTGTTCTCCAAACTTAATGCTGTACCCTAGGAATAGCAACGCACTGCAGATTCCGCGGATTTTTATGTAATGATAACCGATCAGCTGTAAGTCCAGTCGGTGCATTGCTGCCATATCGCGCATAGAAGACACAAAGGCTGAGATAGCGACAGGTTGCCTAAGCCCAGACAAGAGCGCTCGACCCGCTTAGGTTGGGTTCGAACCACGGACATTCAGGGCAGTAAGATCGTGCCTTGAACACTGATCTATTTCGGGCTATGTAGCCCGGGAAAAATCAACTACAAGAGACTGATTAAAACATTGAGGTTTGTCTTCTTACCGTTTTAAACACAGTGACACTTGTGTAGGCCAGAATATGTACTTACCGAGCGAGGATTGGGAAAAGTATGCATAAGCAAATTAACGAATTATTGTGGAGGACTATAATGTACCTCCGAATTCTTTACTTATCAGGTTGGCTGAACTAGCACGTAAGCTCGTGCTTTTTAGAGAAACCCTTTCAGAGGATCCAAGAAACACGCTTCAGGCTTGGTGGTTTCCCCTGAAAACAGCCCTTTCGGTTTCAGATTTTCGCAATTCCCATATCGAAAGTTGGCACAGTAAAACTTGTAATGAGCTTAACAGAGGAGGCGACGAGGCATGTACTTCGCTATTAAGACAAGTCATGCATGTTATGCATCCCAAGTTGTTTTCCACGTACCGAGTGAAGAGAGACACTGGTTGAGAGGTTCATGTATGATTAGATAAAATAGCATAAAGGGAATAGCGAAATCTCGGTGGGACCAACTTTGGTAATGTATCCACGCGTGCCTATCCCTAGAGATATTACGGGACGCGACTGATATCCTATGTCAATTTTTCATATACTGCCAGTTTTCCTGCCGGACGTCTTGCGTCCGGTCCGCCAAGATGCCATGGAATAGGTATGATATACTGGAGATAAACCCTATCTTTGAATGCAGTTCTGTTCTCTTCCAGCTAATACGATTCGATTGTCCGATAGTGAATCAGTGACGCTTAACGAATGTATGGAGTCTGGCTTGTGTTGACCCATACAAGGTCATACTGGTGAAAGTTTCTTTCCAGTTGTTGCACCACGACTACGAGCTTGAGTTGATGCAACTATCAATCCACGGTGAGCCCCGTGACCTTGGCTGGAGGAATTGAAACATATGTTCACCACCTACAATTTCTGCGATTCATACTGTTAGTTTGCATCCTGATTGTTTGAATTAGCGCTCAGAGGTGGTTGTTAGCGATAGACGAGCACTGGCTGCACATTTCCTCTTCAATGGCAGGTGACTGGACAGCAGTCAGTCTGAGGAACGGCTAATTTTGAAAGACCATCGTTTGGTCACTCGGTTATGGGTGGGGTTGCCTTAGAAAATGGCGAGTCCCTAATCCGTAATGACAGAGACAGGATGGTATCAAGTTCAAAGTCACTAAGCAAACTGGTTACCTCAAAGTTTATTATGGTTCCTGTAGTGTTCGGAATGCCAATTTTTTATCTAATAATACAAGTATGATTACATGGCTACACATGGCCACAGGGCTTCCAATCACGAAAGAAAACAGTGTAAACGTATGGAAACTGTCCAGATGTTCATGAAATGGAAGCATAGTAAGAGGCAAATTGCTATTGGTCTCAAAACCAACGTTTAGGGGTAGCTATTACAGACTAGATGGTAACCAAAACCATTTACTGCTACTAAATGAGCATGCTTCCGGCTGAAGCGAATGGAAAATCATGACTTTCCCCAACCGTCTTTTTGGACCAACCAACTCACAGTGAAAAATACCGCCGGTACTGGAGTGAGCCGGTCCACTTACAGGAAGGATATAACCTCCGGCATTTGGTTTTCCTGGCTCGCCACGAAGAAGACACGAGAAGCTGTTAACATAGAACCGTTCACGCCACCACATGTGGAAAACGCCACAAATAATGGCATGATCCACCAAATCGGACCGTAAATTCGAGCTGCAAATGTCTGTAAAAAACGAAAAAAGAAAGTTGGGTACAGCAAGTACACAATAAAATCGCCACAAGTTTTCAATAAATACCAAGAAAACGGACGCAACTAAGAGGCAAAGTCATCAGAGAAATAAATGATGGACGCAACCGCATTCTGTTCGGACTCCATCGGAAGTGAACAAATGGTGGTATGTGGTCCTGCCAGAAGACAAATTTAGTGAACCATTATTTCCACACAAATAAACACGATTCGATTGTGAGTATGGGCACTGAGGGCTGACACAAATACAATTTGAACGGCTCCGAGTCTCGATGGATTATTATAATTCACCACTCGCAGACTTTACGTTACCATAGGAATACACTTCTATAGGTTACGAATGACGAACGAGTTACACAAGGAGTCATCTCGACTCACAAACGGAATGAATCCACAATTGCACATCTGCGAATCCTTCTGCTGACCTAAACTAAGTCTTGACTTCGCTGGGAACTAGTCCTGACGTTCACTTCTGTCAACTCGGCGTTCAATGGTCTGAATTAGACGATGGTCTTCAGAGTAACAATACAAAACCGACGAAGGTAACGGCCGGGAATGAGATATATTGCGACAGTGTGGCTGATTTTATTACCATTGTCAATCGCATCATGGTCAAAGAACAAGTGTGGGAAGGGTCGGAACTTGGGTAAACTGCTAAAACTTGAACGCCCATGTAAGTTAGATGATAGATTCCACAATAGTGGTTGTCACAACCTGGTTAAAAGCGCTCCTGTCGTCGTTTCGGACTCAACTTTGTAAATAGCGTCATCATAGTAGATACCCTTTAAAATAAGCTGAACTCCTCAAACACTCACTCTTCACGTTTGTGCTCAGGATTTTAAAGGCATGCGTTTTTACTCTGAAATTTCTTCGTTTCAACAGACTTTTGGAATACCCGTACGAGTCCGGTGCGACCAGTTTTGATTACAAAACTGACCATACGACGGCAGTACGGTTTTCCGACCATCAGTGGGAGTAACTCACGTTGCAAACCCGGATTAGCAGTTTGCGCTGATAACTCGCCGCATGAAGCTCAGAACAAAGAAATTCTTATGGAAGGTCACAAGCAACGGACTCAACACAATACAGTTAGAAGGTAGGGTACGTAACATATCCAGCCCGTTCGCTGTACTGTTTGCGCTGGGCAAAGGAAAAAATGAAACATTTCAGGTTGCAGAGTTTTTAAACAAGTGTATCCATATGCGAAATAAGGGTCCAAATATGGATTCGAAATAAGTAGACCGCTTTGCCTCGCAAAATTAATAGACAGCGCTAAGAGACCAGCACTCAGACAAGCAGGCACAACCGACTTTTCATGCACATCGATGGTAAACTACTACTGGTTTTCACGCGCTAAACTTTGGCGAACCTATTTATTGTAACGCTCGGAAGACTTTACAACTACCGCTGTCTGCAATAAACTCGTGGGCAAGAGGTTCATCACTAATGGTCATGACAAGTGCACGCTCATTCTAACGCGTACATGTTGAAGAAGTGCGAACCGAAATGGGCTTCAATACAAAGAACTTTTCCCTCTTGAAGAACCACTAAAAGTGCACTAGGAGTATAGCCCAAAAGCAGTAGTTCCCCATTAGGGCTACATAACAAAATCCGTGAGTGTAGTTTTGAAGCGCGACTTCGGTTGTCTTGTAATCTCGACCTGAGCGAAACCTTGTGGCAGTGACGCGGAACACTTTTAAAGGGTGGTTTGGCAAAATGAAAGGAAGGCTCTGTAAATAAAATCATGTAAATTGAGGCGTAAAGAAGTGTAGAGCAGGACATAACTCGCAGCATAAAATCAACTGATAATCTACTTTTTAGAAAAGTTTAGATGAAAATCGGTTAAAAATACTGGTTGCTTGTGAAACCTTTCTGAAACAATAGTCTCTAGGTCAGCTTTATGCGTCTCCTAAATCATGAAACTTGTGTTCAACTAACCAGATAAAAGTATCCAGCCAGTGACGTGGAATAGGAAACTTTCATATTTTATTCCAGTATCGAGTATGCAAGTTTGGTCAATTGGATCGAAGTGGAAATTTGTACATAGACCGGCACATCACCAGATAAACGATACCAAACAAGAGGGCAAAAATATGCCTTAAAATGACGAACTCACCACTGCCACGGCTGGAGTGGTTAAAAGTTCAGTCATTGAGACCACGGTCAAGTAGGCCACGTTGGCCAGTGTGTAGAGGACGGTAACAACGAGACACGAGGAGACCACTGCAATTGGAAGATCCCGTCGTGGGTTGCTCATCTCTTCGATCATACAGTTCAGAAAGTTCCAACCGGCATATGCGAATAGGCCAGAGTAGAATGCTTTTGCGATACTGCCAGGATCCCAGTTAGATCCTTCGAATGGGTCTTGCAGTTCCTCAGTACGGCCTGTGTAAACAGAATGCCCGTCAGGTAGGGATATGGGTTTCAGTAACTTATCTACCACCAAGTTTATTTTCACAAGTCACAAGATCATTCTGAGACATCAAAACAAATAAACCTTGTTTGGGTGATTCATAATTTAGGAGGAGTCATCACGAGGAGAAGTGGGGTGTAGTGCTAAGCTTCTGTAATGATCTACTGTGGAAATACCTTTGGAAAGAGCAATGCTTTCTCGCTGGAAACAGATAAATACCAATAAGAGTCCAAGGAACCGATTAAGAATAGAGACGTAGATGAGACGGAACAATGCTACTGGACTATCCGGTATGATATTTTCAAGCACTACACAACGAGTTCGACCAAGGAATTCTGATTGGAAAACAGACTTCAGGCTTCCAGAACAACCTTTCCGTCGGTCCCGTAATGGTGTGAATTCTCCGAAAAAACGAAAAATATTCCCCTTTTCTCCAACGAGATCGCCTTGGGAGAATCACTGTACACACAAAACATGACTGGAATGTCCAGCTTGCACAGGTTGCAGCGACATGGCTCAAGTGGTTAGAGCGCGAATTTACTGATTGTAAGGTCCGTGGTTCGAACCCGACCTCTGCCTCTCGACTTCCCCTGTCCAGGCTTGGGAAACCCAACACAATAAATTATAGGAACACGGAGTTCGCACTACACAAATAGCAAAATAGTTAAACAGAGTGGAGTCAGTATGATGGTGCTTGTTCACCCTGCTGTGTTCAATCTGGGTAATGTCTTCAAAGTTCAAATTTAGACGCGTTTTCCGCCCAAAAAGATAGCTTGTCCCTTATATATATCTCAGGTTCTTTTATTGGCGTCAAAATATACCCTTCGATCGGAGTTAACACAGTCGAAGCTGTGCCA